AAAAAAAAAAAAAAAATTGAAAGTGGTAATAATGTAATCCTTATTACCACTAAAGGTAATAAGGATTACATTATTACCTTTAGTGGTAATAAGGATTACATTAAAACACTAAACATGAAAAATAAAGAACAAATGAATATTGTGCGACTTTTGTAGAAGTTTAGCTGGATATAAGGTTTACATAAAGCTGGCAAGTTGTACATGTGTGTAACCTTAGCACTGTTGGGAGGCTGAGGCAAGAGCACCCCAAGTTCTCAAGATCATCCTGGACTACATAGCAAGTTCAAGGCTGGTCTGGAACACACAGACTCTGTCTCAAAAAAAAAGAAAAAGAAATATTTACCTAAAAAAAGCTAAACATGCCTATATATAAGTATGTTTTTATATAATAAATACATGTTAGTAAAGCAGGAGTGAAGAGCAGAGTAATAATGGTCCCCAGGTACTTAGAAGATCTCTCTGGGCCTTAAGAGTAAAAGAGCATACAACTAAGAGTGAAAATGGGAAAAGAAAGTTGAGTCATGACAAGGGCAGAAAGGGCCTGATTAAAAAAGGTGTAAACTGGGAAACAGCAAAAAAGACATCACCAAAAAAGAAGTAGATTAAAGAAAGAAAAGCTACAGAAAGGAGTTTGCTGATGATTTAAAAAGAAATGATAGTTACTGAAGACTTCTCAGGAAGACAGCTTTAGGCACATTAGCTTAACAATATTAAATGGTATATCCTAGTAGGGTGAAACATTAAATATAATGGCATCAAGTACACTGTAGCAATAATCCAAATATGAAATGAGGGCCGGCCAAATAGCTCAGTGGATTAAAGTGCCTGCAAGCAGGTGCAGGGGCTGGGGTTTATACCCTGGGACGCACTAAGATGGCAACTGAGACTGGGCACATGCCTGTAAGCCCAGCTCTTGGGAGGCTGTAAACAGGAGGATCACTGTGAGTCCGATCTAGTAGTGAGACTCTGAACACCCTGTAGACCCTTCCCTAAAATAAAAAAAGAAAAAAGTGAAATGATGAGGGCCAAGGACAGAGCAGATATATGAAAATACACTTTAAGGCCAGGAAACGTGGCATACACATGTAATACCAGCACTCATGGACACTGAGACAGGAGGATCCAAGATCAAGTCCAACCTGGGCAGCTTAGTAAAAACCTGTCTCAAAATTTAAAAAAAGGACTGTAGGTGAGGTTAAGTGCAAAGGTTCCCAGTTCAGTTTTCAAAAAGGGGAGGGGGGAGTATATATAATGAAGAGAAAAGAAACTGGGCATGGTAGCACACACATGTTAATCCCAGCACTCAGGACGCTGAGGCAGGAGGATCACTGAGGGTTTGAAACCAGCAAGGGCTACAAAATGAACTCAAGGACAGCCTGAACTACATGATAAGACCCTATCCCAAAAAAACAAAACCTATGGTCAGCCAGATAGCTCAGCGGATTAAAGCTCCTACTTAGGCAGACACAGGGGCCAAGAGTTTGATCCCCAGTCTGCCGTGCTGGTGCCCATGTACTCTGAGACGGGCGTGGTGATGTGCCTCCATAATCCCAGCATTTGGAAGGCTGAAAAACAGGAAAGATCACTAAAGTCCGATCTGTGTAGTGAGACCCTGTACTAAATACAAATACACACACAAAAAAGAAAAAAGAATCTTGATTAGGTGTTTTTTTAAAAAGCAAAGCAGAGTTGGAGATGTGGTACTTATTCTACTGAGCTATCTCCCCAGCCCCAGAAAGTTCTTTATATGAAGAGAAAATCTCATCATCTCACCTGTTTAATAGCCAATGACCTGCTCAAAACTTTTTTTTTTTTTGTGGAACCAGGGATTGAACTCAGGCCCTTGTGCTTGCCAGGCAAGTGTTTATTCTACTGAGCCATCTCTCTGGCCCCTCAAAACTAGTGTTGGAGAAAGGACTTTTCTTAAAAGCATAGTAAACTAAACAAGTAACTAAGTTTTCAAAGAATTAGGAGTCAACAAAAACATTCTACACTCAAACATGTATGCTACAACAGCATAAACACATATTAATAAAATTTAAATGATACACTCTATCTTCATTTCCACATACAAATTAAGTAATAGGTAACCTGACCTTTTGCACACTTTTTAGGAGATAGACCACCTTACATTTTAAAAATAGTCAAACTTTAAAATCGATTTGTTTCAGAAAACAAGCTGAACATAGTGGCCCATCTACAGTTTGAAGCCAGTCTGGGTTACACAGTGATTTCAAGATCAACTTACACTACACAGCAAGTCCCTATCTCAAAAAAACAAAATTAAGGGCCAGGGAGACGGCTCACTAGAATAAGCGCTTCCCTGACGAGAGCAAGGGCCTGAATTCATTCCCAAGTTCTGGAAAAATAATAATAATTTAGGGGCTGGTGAGATGGCTCAGTGGTCTAAAGCACCTACTTAGAACAAGCTTGGCAAAGCATCAGGGACCGCGGTTCAAACCCCCAGCACCACATGCCAGCCAGCCCCGCCCCCTGGTGGACACACACACACACACACACACACACACACACACACACACTTAAATAAAATTTTTAAAATAATAATAATAATTTAAAAATAAAGACTAAGATTATTGCTCCACAGAAGATATTACAGAAGAGGCTAACAGTTGAAACTTTTATTGTCAAGAGTTTTCCAAAAAGAGAAGACATTGTCCAAAACAGAAGACATTGCCTTTCCCATATAGCCCTAACATATGACTATAATGGCATAAGCACATGGTAAAGTACTTTGTGGACACAAATATAATTTGGATAGGTATACAGTCAATAAAAATGTAAAAAAAATTTTAAAAGAATCACACTGATGTAAGAAAGCTTGGCTTTTCTATATGCTAGTAATTTTGAGTTGAAACATTTACTTACGTTCTGATACTGTATAAAGGAGGTTCTGGGGTAAAGGAGGAGGTAGTCTTGCTCCCACTGGTGCAAGATTGGGCACTGCACTTGTCCCAGGCTGGTCACGACTGTTTATCAAGCTTGACTGTGATATTGGTGGTCCTACAGATTACAGAAGGTGACAGGTATGGGATTAATGTTTCCTAATAAAAGTACTCACTGCACTGGTAGTAACTTAAATATTCATACTTGAAAAATCTGCCCAGGCTTTGAACAAAATTAAGGAATTTGATACATGCAGGCTTAGCCATTGTGAGCTATAATTAATTAAAATGACATTCTTAGTTCTAGAACAGAAAAAAGTAATCAAGGATAAAAAATAAAGAACTGAGGGCTAGCGAGATAGCTCAGCAGACTAAGCGCCTGCTTAGGCAAGCACAGGGACCATGGTTCAATCCCTGGCACCACACACTGCACCGGTCCCACCACTGGGCACACAGAACTGGCCACCAAGAATGGGCAAGACTGGGCCTGGTGGTACACGCCTATAATCCCAGTGCTGGGGAGACTACAAACAGGAAGATCACTATGAGTCCAAGCTGTGTAGTGAGACCCTTCACCAAATACATTTTTTAAACAAAGAACTGTTGCCTCCGTAGAGGCAAGTAGAAAACGACTAAAACAGACTTGAGAAAATTTTCTGGGGTTACAGATTTCTACAAATGGATTAAATTAATGATAAACATTTTAATGCCAGGCATAGTGGTGCATACCTATAACCCTAGCACTTGAGAGACTGAGGGATAAGGATTGCTTTAAGTTTAAGGCCAGCCTGGGCTACCTAGGGAGTTCAAAGCCAGCATGAACCCTGTCTCAAGGGGGAAAAAAAGTGATATACATGTTTTAAATGTTCTATTGTCTGTAATGTGTTGAGAAACACCAAATAAAAATGGAGAAATAGAAAAATAAGTGATATCCAAAACAGTAAAATGCTCATTGTGGTAGTTAGATGAGTGCATGAGTACAATTCTTTCAATTTTGTTTGCTCAAAATGTTTCATGGTAAAATGTTTTTAAAAATTATATTCTTACATTTAATTTTTATACAAATAGGTTCTTATACTGAAACATCTTTTAGAATTTCTACACATAAATATATACTACTTTATCAGGGAAACACATCTCAACTTGTTTTAAAATTACATTCTTCTTGTGAAAATACTAAGTATTCATACAAGAACCTCATTTTTACTGATCAAATCTATGCATTAAACTCTAAAACTTCATTTTTATTAATTCAATGAGTTCTCTAAGAGTACTCTATTTCTGGGAAGCTTTGTAATGAGTACATGGGATCCTGGGAACCTATCTTTGCAAATTTTTTTTTTTTTTTTTGGTAGAACCAGGGATTGAACTCAGGCCCTTGCGCTTGATAGGGAAGCACTTATTCCACTAAGCCATCTCCCCGGCCAAATGTTTTGTTTTTAAAGACAGTCTCACTACATATGCAGCCCAGGCTGGCCCCCAACTTGAAGTGATATTCCTGCCTCAGCCTCCTCAGTGCTGGGATTGCTGTCTTCGCAACTGCAAATTGGTCTACAGCAAAATAAAAGGATCTTTAACTTTTTTAGTTTTTTGGGTTTTTTTTCAATGCCAGGAATTGAATGTAGGGTCTCACTTGTGCTAGGCAAGCAGTGTACCACTGAGTTACACTCAGCCCCTAAAACACAGAGAGAGCACAAGTGCAAATGACTTATTTAAATGACAATAATTTTTCAAAAATAATTTGCTAGGCCAGCCACAGTGGTTCATGGCTGTAATCCCAGCATTTAGAAGGCTGAGGCAGGACTGCTATGAGTTTGAGGCCGGCCTGGGCTACAAAGTGAGTTCAAGCCCAGCCAGAACTGCATAGTGAAACCCTACCTCAAAAAGGAAAAAAAAGAAAAAAAAATTTCGTCTTAACTTTCTGGTTTATGTTATACTAGTAACTGTTAAAATGTTTTAAATGACCATGTTTAAACATTTATCACTCAAATTTTAGTGGATGTGACAATAAAGTCCCTAGCAGTAGAGATCCACAATGAAGTAAATACAACTGGTAAAATGACACTTAAGAGTTTTAACCAGCAAAAACTGAAATAACTCAAAGAGTGAGTGGAAGAGGGGAATAAATCATAGAAAACTAGCTTAACTTTGATAATCATCAGTAACAGTATATGCAGTATAATGCATACACACACACACATATATATATAAAAGTAATGTGTATACTTGTGAAAATTTTCACAATGCAAATTTTTAAATGTTATTTCAACATATGCTAAGAGACATTCTTTTTTTTTTTTTTTTGCAGTACTGGGGATTGAGCTCAGAACCTTGTGCTTGCCAGGCAAGCGCTTATTCTACTGAGCTATCTCCCTAGCCCAAGAGATATTCTTTAAAGACTACCATTAAATTATTGCTAAGTTCTTTCTCTAACACCTTAGAAGACCCTAACAAGTGAGATTTTGGTAAGTCAGTATAGACTTGGTCACTACAGATAAAATTTACATTGGAAATACAATAATAACATGCTATATAATCAATGGCAAAAAAGAAAAGAACAGCACCTAAGTATAAAAATATATTTCAAATTCTATCATTAGTTTATTTCTCAAAAACTTAATCAGATTATTAAGTTTAAACATGGATGAGATTCTTGCAAGTAGATTTCACTACCAAAGATTCATTCGGCCAACATATACTTACTTGGTATGGGAAGCACAACAGAAGGTGGAGGTTGACCATGTCCTTGGGGAACAGGAAGTCTCATACTATGACCAGGACCCGGGCCTGGACCTGGGCCAGGGCCAGGCCCAGGGCCTGGCATTGGAGGCATTAACATTCCAGGAGGTGGTGGAGGAGGAAGACCAGGAGGAGGGGGTGGGAAAGGAATCATACTTGGCAGAGCAACTTCATCAACAACTAGAGGATCATTGCCATGATCAAACTGACAAAGGTCACCAAGTACACAAAATCCTCTTTCTGTAAAGATAAAAAAGAATTTTATTATGAACTATTAAAGTTCAGAAAATAAAGCACTGAAAAACTCTGCATTCTGATTTGTTGCTGTTCTGAGATAGGGACTCACTAAGTAGTTCAGGCTGGCCTTAAACTCCTGGTGATCTCTCTGTTAGACCCCCAAGTGCTGGGATGATTGGTGTGTGCACAATGTCCAGCATCTACCATTCTCATTTTTAAGGTGGTGCTCTTCTCTAAGGAGTCTAAAGTCTTAGTGTTATCCTGTTAATCATAACATATTTTTGATAAAGGGAAGTATATTCTCTAGTTTATATACTATGTGTGATTTGATGAGATAAAAATAACAGGACCAAAACCAAGCTACTAGTTGCTATTAGATTAACCTATTTGCTATTAAATTTTTATAACAAAAACCTAGATTTATTTTTTCCCCTAGTCTTGGGGATTAAGCCCAGGGCTTCCCACTGAGCTACAGCCACAAGTTGCCCAGACTAGGATCAAACTTGAAATCCTGCCTCAGCCTCCCAAAAGGCTGAGGTAACAGGTATGTACCACAGAGCCCAACCCAGAACCCAGACAATTTAGGCAAATACTATAGCAAAGGGTTGGCAGTAGGGGAGGAAAAGAACCATGAACTAGATGACATAATTGAAATGATTTATTCTCAATGTTATTCTAAAGTAATCATTCTTTCTATATCTAGAAATTAAAATATCAGTTTAAAACATCTGGCTGGAAAGGAGAAGAAATCTACAATGTTCTACAAAACAGAGCAACTATGGTTGACAACAATTACTTGACTACTTTAAAATAGCCAACAAGAGAGGATTTTTAATATTTTCAACACAAAGAAATATAATTTTGGGATGATAAATACGTCAATTATCCTGATCTGAACACTGTACATGTTGGAATATCACCCCATACCCCATATATATACAAAAATAAATATTTAAATAGGTATTACATAGGCTTTTCACTGTAACAGTTTACAATGGAGAAATATCAGAAATATTTCCAGTATATAATCAATTAAAAAATAGATCAAATGTAGTTTTGCACATACAGATCATTAAAAAGCCTAAAAAATAGAGATTTTTTTATGTATTAATATAGAATTACTGCCAGGAAATACTAAATGAAAAAATCATGTGAAAAGCCAGCCAGATAGCTCAGCAGAACTAAAGCACCTGCTTAGGCAGAGCGCAGTGGCTGTGGTTCCATGCCTGGAGTGCTGTGCCAGCCCCGCCCCCAGGGCACACTGAGATGGCAATTGAGACTGGGCATGGTGGCACACGCCTGTAATCCCAGTGCTTGGGAGGCTGAAAATAGGAGAATCAAGAGTCTGATCTGTGTAATGAGACCCTGTGCTAAGTACATTAAAAAATAAATAGAAAAATATCCTGTGAAAAAATAATATATTGGCACGTAAGTTTAAAAAAGTGGGAGAGAACATGTATATATATTTGTTTATACAGACTTAAACATACTATACTTGGAAAAATACACAGTAGAAATTGACATTATCAGGATAGCCTGGGAAAGAGAACTCTAGCTGAGCAACTAGAGGATTTAAGTATATGTTTATACCACATGGTGGTACGCACCCATATTCCCAGCACTCAGGAAGCTAAGGTAGAAAAATCACCATGAGTTCAAAGCCAACCTGGACTACTGTCTCAAAAAGCCAAAATAAAATATATAAATAATAATAGTAAATAAAGGGCTGGCCAGATAGCTCAACAGACTAAAGCACTCACTTAGGCAGGCGCAGGGACTGGGGTTCCATCCCTGGCGTGCAGTGCCAGTGCCAGCCCCACCCCTGGGGCCTGCTGAGACAGCAATTGAGACTGGGCGTGGTGGCACAAACCTGTAATCCTAGCACTTAGGAGGCTGAAAACAAGATGATCACTACAAGTTCAATCTGTGTAGTGAGGCCCTGTAGGCCCTATACTAAATACATTAAAAATAATAATAATAAATAAATAAAACATAAACCATGCATTCTACATAAAAAAAACAGTCAGAGGTTGGAGTTTAATTCCATAGCACAGTGCCTGCCTAGCATATATACAGCTATGGATTCAATCCCTAGTACTGAATAAAAGTGATGATCAGATTTCCTTGAAATAATACATGATAGGGGCCAGGGAGATGGCTCAGTGGAATGAGTGCTTCCCTGGTAAGCACAAGGGCCTGAGTTCAATCCCCGGTTCCGCAAAAGAAAAAAAAAAGAGAGAGAGAGAGAGAGAAAGAAATAATACATGATAATAAATGTGAAGGAATATAAAGAAAAATGATTATTCATGATTGGTAATTGCTGAAAAGAGGCAACAGACATACTACCATTAATTATATTTTGTCAAACTTAGTAAATATTTAAGTATTTCCACAATAAAAAACTCAAACATAATACATGGATTCATTCACGTAAATGGAGTCAGAAAATTAAAATAGCAAATGACACATGGTTAACAAATTCCTACCATCAAACACTATACAAAAAAAATTAAAAATTTCTAGCATCTATCCAATTTTATGGTATACTTACAGCTTGAAGTAGTAAGAACAAAAATATAAACTATTAAAGAGTCAAGTTTAAATATTCTCTTGACTGAAGCCAAACCATTAAATCATCAAGTAATAAGCATATGATTAAAGAAATTCTCCTCCCCATTCATACTTTTTAATATAATCTAGGGTATAAAGAAAAGGTCTGCAATATATGCAACATTTGCTTAACTAGTACTTTTGAGTACAACATAAGAGAAGGTGAGGAATTTTACCATCATAATCTCTGCATCGCCGCTTTGGTGGTGGGTTTCGACCAAAAGAATTGGAAGAGCTGTGATTGTTATAATAATTAGACCAACTCTCTGTGGTGTTTTCAGAATGGTGAGCAGGTGCAATCACAGTCACGGTGCTGGGAATAGACTGAGCCCCAGAGGAATACTGCTCCGAAGAGTTTGGAGGTGGTGCAGACACAGGCACATAGGAACTCTCCAAATCATTCCTTTCACTCTTAAATTTTGATCTTTCCCTGTGCTCTGCTTCAGAGAGAACAAAAACAAGAAATAGATCATTTATATTCTTAACTATGCTTATACTTTCGCAAAGCAGGAAAGATAATTATACCGGAGTCAATTTACTAAGCCATCCATTTCCCAAACTGCTCTCATGATTAATACATACTAAAAATAGGAACATTAACAACAAGACCTGAGACCTATCTTGGTCAGGGGGATGTGGCTTAGTGGTATAAGCACCTGCCTGGCAAGGATAAGGTCCTGAGTTTGATCCCCAATAGCAAAAAAGAGACCTATCTTGACTGATAACTTATGAAAAATCATCTTTTGTATCAACATCAATTATATTGATAGAAAAAAAGATCAGCTTCTTCACTAATATTTAATAGGAACGTCACCCAAGAATTGACTGCCAAATCAGTATTTTATTTATATTTTGTGTGTATGTGTGAGCAGGGTCTCATTACACAGCTTGGACTTACAGTGATCCTCCTGATTTCTGCCTTCTTAGTGCTGGGATTACAGGCGTGTGCCACCATGCCCAGACTCCATCACTGGCTCAGCATGCCTAGGGGGCAAGGCCAGCGTGGCATATGGTGCCAAGGATCAAACCTGACCCCTGCAATTACCTAAGCAAGCGCTTAGTCTGCTGAACTATATCGCCAGCCCTCAAATCAACATTTTGGAACATCAATCACTGGGATCTCATAATCTAATTTTTTTTTCTTTTTTGTTGTTGTTGATGCTGTTTTGATATATAAGAGCTAGAACCCAAAGCCTCTGCATCCCCACCCTTTATTTTTAAATTTTTGAGACAATGTTCCATTAAGTCGCTAAATTGCTAACGCTGGGCTCAAATTTGTGATTCTCTTGCTTCAGCTTTCAGAGAGCTAGGATTACAGTCATGTACTATAGTGCCTGGCTTCCTTTTAACTTTACAAACTTCAAGCAGCTTTACAGAAAATCAATTACTTTCTCAAAAAAGAAAACAAGCAAAATAAGGTACCCTCTTCTCTAGTGTTAGCTTTGTGAATTAAAGGACATTTTTATTGTACAAAATGTATTTTATTTTTACCATACAAAGTTACATATAGGCCAGGGAGAAGCTCAATGGCCTAAGCGCCTGCCTGGCAAGGTCCTGAGTTCTATCCCCGGTACCGCAAAAAAAAGAAAGAAAAAGAAAAAAGTTACATAAATCTAAACATGTAATATACCTTATGAGTAGCTTCTTTTCCAATTTTTATATCACTTAGCTATATTACATTAAAGGTAACACTTCTCTTTAAGGGATAAAAAAAAACTATCTTTAAAAAGGACAAAGAAAAAAGAAACCACTAAGTTTCTAGGAGAACATCTCATCTACTCACCAACATTCCTGTTGGGATCCCGGTCTTTGCTGCGCCCCCTACTTCGGCTTCTACTTCGACTGAGGCCTCGGCTTTTACTGCGGCTCTTACTCCTGCCTCTTCTCCAGTCATATTTCTCACGGTACAGCTCGTTCCGCTCATAGTACCGGTCATAGTCTCGCCACTTGCCATCTTCTCTCTTCTTCTCACGTGTCCTATAACACACAGTTATAAAAGCCATATATGATAGAGAACAGAGTCTGCAAACAAATGTAGACTATGAAATACTCTCTTGGAGTTATCAAAACTCATGTCTGTGATTTTCTACAGTTTAAAGAGCATCCCATAATTTTTCTAATCCACTACACAGAAAGGAAAAACCAATTTGCACTTGAAGTACAGTGGGTGGGGAGAAATTTTCAAAAAGGTAAACCCAATATATGGAGGGAGGGGCAGAAACAGAACTAGAAAAGAAAAAGGGCTCAAATCAAAATTTTTCTAAAATTTTTAATACCTATTTTTTGATGGTAGACTGATTATGCCTCATAAAAACTGCTCCATTTATAATACAAAATAACACAGTTAATTTTCATCGTGAGCACCCCTGACCAAATGGAACATTTCATTATTATTCTCTCAGGAGATTGCTCCCACCCCTGAGCTCTTGGGGAAAGCACATAATGATGACTGTTTATAAAAAGAATAGAAAGGAGATGAGAAAAAACAGAATGGGAAAGAAAAGTAACACTTCTTTAATGAGTTTACAAGGAGTCAAAATGTATATTTTATTTACAATCATTGCAAAGTCCTTGCTAAGCAAGTAATACCTGACTTAGCAATGTCTTCCTCATAAAAGAAAAATACAGACCTTCGTTCACTAGATTCTGAACGAGTCTTCTGAGGACTAGGGTATTTCTTTTTTCTGCCATCTCTTTCTTCTTCTGCTGGCTCCTGAAATACCTATATAAAAACATTCATCAGAAATAAGAAAAGACCTTCTATAAAACTTACAAACACAGAAGCCACCTGATAATCCATCCAGCACAAAGAGTGCACAAAAAAGCCCACTAAAAAGTCAAATCATATCCAAAGACCACGAAAAGTAAAAAAGATGCTCAAATTACCTTAACAGTTTATTAATTTTAAATGTTAGTTTAAGATTGACAATGATATTACAGAAAAAAATAAGCAATTCACCCTTACACTGAAATAGCAGAAACAGCAAATCATTAAGTATCACATAGCAAAACACTTCATTTTTTTTAGCAAAACACTTTATATCTTACTAATCATAAAACATATCTGCGTACAAAGAGAACTTTAGATTTCACAGAAAAGGCTTCAGACACACACAGCTACCTCAGTGAATGCTATAAAACTATTTCATGGAAACTGTAGAAAAGTTACATTGGAACTAAAGAAAACCTGAAGGATTCTTTAAAGACTAATAGTGAAGAATAATCAGAAAAAAAAAAGAGAACCAGTGACTTTATCTTTAAACAAGTTGCTTTCAAATCAGATATCTCTATAGCACTGACTTGAGAAAAATGAAATAAAGTCATTTGTAAAAATTAATTAAATTCCCACTTAATGGGGAAGCTCACTTGCAGCTCTAAAACAAGAAGTGAGTCAAGGGACGGAGCATGAGATCACAACTTAATAAAATTCAGGCAACAGAAAGTGGAATCACAATATGGCAACCATATATCACAAAAAAAACACTATTTAATCAGACTATTTAAAAATCATTCTCTATCAATTCACAAGAAATACAAAGGATGTAGTAAATCCACTAGTAGGCACTCAAACAGTAAAAAACTACAAAGAATAAATGAGTTCCTTCACAAAATAAAACTTTAAGATGAGAGAATAAAGAAAACAGGATCGAATTCACTGTGCTTCGTATCATAGCACATGTCTTGTGTTGTTTTTTCAACACCAGGATGAGTTATACCAATATCCAAATTCTCTCCTCTGGTTCCCCCTGTGGCCAACAGTCCAATTAAAAAGCAACTAATGATACAATGCAGCATACCTTGTGCTCAGTACAACTGTATCAACAGACCACAGACCAGAAAAAGAGACCAAAGGTACATGCCACAAAAAACTGCTCGCATTATCTAATAGAATTAAATTAAACATTTATTTTACGCCCAATTATATAAACTAGTTTTGTCAGAAATTACACATAAATTATATTTAAAAAATCTTACAAACAAGGAACATATAGTGTCAGGTGGAGTAATTCCCTTGCACTTGCCAGGGAAGCACTTATTCCACTGAGCCATCTCCCCTCCCCCCAGGTGGGGTAATTCTAAACCTAAGTTGATACTAGCCATTTTTCACAGTTCTCAAAATTAAAAGGACTGGCTAAAAAGATACAAATGAAATTATGGTAACATTTTTTTTAAACTGTTCTTTCTTTCTTTTTTTTTTTTTTAGGCTGGCTCACCTACCCTGAGGGCAGGCTGGTGTATCATGTGGTACCGGGGATCAAACCGTGGTCCCCTGAACCTGTCCACACTTGCCTAAGCAGGTGCTTTAAACCGCTGAGTTATCTTGCCAGCCCTAAACTGTTCTTTCAAAGTTCAAGATAATGAAACTTTTCCTCATATTCAAATGAGCTGCCTTTCAAACATATAACTTCTAAATTTTAAATCACTACACTTTAGTGGCTGTAGAAAAAAACACCCATGGCAGCAAAAATTTTAGTGATCCACAGATACTCATTTTTATAGCAGCACAGTTCGTAATAGCTAAATCCTAGAAACAGTATATAAGTCCATCAACAGACGAATAGATAAAGAAAATGTGGTATTTATACACAATGGAGTACAGCCCTGCCATTGAAAAGGACAAGCTTGTAATCTGTAGGAAAATGGATGCACCTTGAGAACACAAGGTTAAGTGAAGTAAATCAAGTGGATGAGAAAAAAACTGAGATGTGTTCTATAAATGCACCAACTCTCTACGAGGAATGTAATCATGAACTATAAACATATACTAATAAAAAGGCAAAAATGAAAGAAAAAACAACTTATAACTTAATCGATGCCATGGATCATAAATTAAATACTGTATAAAGTGTCAAAGAAAAATTTCTATAAAATACTTCACAGTCTTTTCCTATTTCTGTTACTTGAAGAGACACGTAGGGAGCCTCACCCCACCTTCACCTTCCCAAGGTACCACACACAGACCCAATGAGCTCTGTGCTGGGATAGATCTCAGGCCCCTCTCTTTATTTTGGGATGCAGTCTGAAAATTGATAAACTGCCCAGACAAGGCTCACACTTTTTTCTCTTTTTTTCTTAAGACAGCATCTCAACATGTGGTTCAGACTGGGTTTGAACCTTTGAACTCACTGGGTAGCTCAGACTGGTCACAAACTTGAAGAGCCCAGCCACAGCCTTGCAAGTACTAGGACCATATAAGGGTAATGGGATCACAGGTATGCAACACCACACCTGGATAGGTTCAAATTTACAATCGTCCTGTCTCAGCGTTCCCCCAGTGCTGGGATTAAAAAACAGCACAAGGCTTGGTACAACAAAAAGTTATAGTGGTTTCAGTTAATCCTAAATATAATATTACCACATTTTGTTTTCTTTTACTGTTAAATCAGTTCAACCAGCACAGAACTGAAAAATGAATTGAAGTTGGGTGTGATGGCCCAAGTCTATAATCCAAGCACTCAAAGCCAGCCTGATGTACACAGGAACTCTCCTTGTTTTGTGCAAAAGATTTGTATCTCTATTTCCTATCATGCATGTTTCATTTTGCTCTTTATATTTACATAAACAAGAAACTGGTAACCCTTGTGTCTGATTTGCTTCACTTAACCTTATGGTCTCAAAGTGCATCCATTTTCCTACAAATAACTTTGGTTTATCCTTCTTTACAGCAGGGTTGTACTCCATTGCATATAATACAAATCCCTATGGATTTTCAAGGGGAAAAAAAATGTGAATCAGAAATGACAACTAAGATAACTAAACGATAAGCAATCTCAATAAATCCTGGACTGGACATAAAAGAAACATATATAAAAAAAAGAAATACTGTTAAGTGAATTAATTAACCTGGAACTCAAATGGTATGAGTATTTACTTATTTATTTTTAAAATTGACTTCTTTTTTTTTTTTTTTTTTTTTTTTTATATGTGTGGGGGCGGCCAGCTCAGTCCACCAGGGGGCGGGGCTGGCTGGCATGTGGTGCTGGGGGATTGAACCGCGGTCCCCGTGCTTTGCTAAGCTTGTTCTAAGTAGGTGCTTTAGACCACTGAGCCATCTCACAAGCCCGGTATGAGTATTTATCAAACTGGTTGTTAAATTTACTGAAATTGGTGGGGATGGTGGAACATACCTGTAATCCCAGCACTTAGGAAGCTGAGGCAAGAGGACTGCCCTGAGTTTGAGGCCAGCCTGGGCTATATAGTGAGTTCAAGGTCAGCCCTCATGACATAGTAAGGTCCTATCTCATAAATTAATTTATTGAAATTAATTAATGGTATTATAGTTACCTTAGAGAATACCATTAAGAAAGGAACAAAGGTTTAGAGGTAAAGGGCCACAATGTATATAACTTACTACTAATAACTTAGCAAAAAAAAAAAAAAAAAAAAATCCTTCTGGGGGCCCGGCCCTAGCTCAGTTCTTTAAGTGGCTGCTTCCACAGAGCTGTCAGGCTCAGGTGGCTGTGGTTCCATCCCCACAAATCAAGCCAGCCAAACCTGCCCTGAAGGCATTAGGAGCAAAAAAAAAAAAAAAAACTTAGCGAAAAAGTTTTGTGCAAGAACATGTAAAGAGACTGGGGCAATCTTCAAGAAACACACTTGGGCAGATGTTATGAGTATAGTAGTATAGCAATTTTTATTCAAGTTTTAAATTATTTCCAAGTTAGAATTTTTCCCTCTCTAGAACCAGGGATTGAACTCAGGCCCTTGCACTTGCCAGGCAAGTACTTATTCCACTGAGCATTTCTCCAACTCCCCAAATTAGAAGACTTTTTAAAATAACTCATTTAGTCTTCAGAATAACATTAATCAAAGCCAATTTTGGAAAATATTTCTATGTAACAGTTAACATTTATTTGCCAGGCACTGGCCTAGGAATGAAATATTTGTATATAAAATCTTTTAATCCTCACTAAGTATTACAATCCTCAAGTTTCTAATGCAAAAGTGAAGCAGAGAAATAACTTGTACTGCTATTTTTAACTCACGTAGCCTGACAAAATCCAGTCTTACCATATAATATGTCATCTAAAGAAACTATCAATGAACCCTACAAGTTTTCCCATGTTGGTCTACTTAGGTTGTCATCTATAATTTTATTTTTTAACTTCTACATGATAAAATCATTTTTATTCCAATTGTAATAATGATGTCTAAAGTTACTTTTTGTTTTGAGACAGGTTCTAGCTATGGACTTCAGACTACCTCTGAACACACCATATAGCCCAGACTGGCCTCAAGCTTGCAGCAGTTCTCTGCCTCTGCCTCCTTGAGTGCTGCGATTACAGGCATGCACCACCATACCCAACTATATATATACGGTTAAAAACAATACTGGAAAAAAAAATAATAATAATACTGGTTTCGGGGCTGGGGCGATAGCTCAGTAGAATAAGTGTTTGACTGGCAAGCACAAGGATCTAAGTTCAATCCCTGGTTCCACCAAAAATAATGAAAAATAAATAAATAAATAAATAAATAATAATAATAATACTAGCTTCAATATACACAGGAAAATATTACCTACTGATTTCTCTTTCACTTTAATATATTATGTTCAGTTAAGCCTCTGTTAATTTAAGTTTTCTTTTTTTCTAGACATCACTAAATAAATGCTTTTTGGGTTTGGGTTTTTTTGGGGTTTTTTTGGCGGAACCAGGCATTGAACTCAGGCCCTTGCACTAGGCCAGGGAAGCACTTATTCCACTGAGCCATCTCCGCCACCCCCACTAAATAAATGTTGCTTAACTTTTCACTATCAAAGCAATTAAAGTCTTTCCATGATGCCTAAACAAGCTATGTAAAATTTTTCCAATTCTTCGGGTCTAAGGAACTGAAAACCCTGATGTAGAATCTGTACCAAATTCTAAGCCCAGGAACATCAATCAATAGATAATTATGGGGCTGGAGAGACGGCTCAATGGAATAAGTGCTTCTCTGGCAAGCACAAGGGCCTGAGTTCAATCCCCAGTTCCAGGAAAAAAAAGAAAAAAGATAATTACTTCTACAAAGCTCATTTTCCAACTAGGAATAAGGGCAACAGAAAGTAGAGTAAATTCTCAAAAGCAAAATAAAAATTTGATCTTACCTCTTCTTTAATGTCTTCTTTTTCTTGGACTAGTGGTTTTGGATCAGGCTTAACTGGTTCCAAAGGTGGAAGGTAATTCTTAGTATAGAGACTTTCAAATAGTTTATCCACAAAACCTGAAGTTTCTAAAGAGAAGAAATAATATTTAAATTTTGCATAAACAGTAAAAATGTGTTTAACAAAGCTTTAGAAAAACAAGCGATCTCATCATACACTGATGGGATTAAACCCCTTTTGTCTACTGAAGTCCTTGTGATGTAACTGCACACATGCAAATTATATATATATATGTATATATATATATATGAATATATATATGATTATTCTTCAGAGTATGCTATAACAAAAGATTAGAAACAACCCAAACTCACCTAAATAAAGGTAAAATAATAAAACATTTGCACAAGAGAACACAATTTTTTTTTGGCAGCACTAAAGGATCAAATCCAAGGCCTCGTACATGCTAGATAAGTACTCCACCTGAGCCTTACCCCCAGCTCACAAAACATTTACAGAAATAACCAGTACTAATAACATCAAATCTTGAAGCTATAAGACAATTTCTTCATTGTTCAACTACAGAGGACATAAACACTGAAAAACTATGTGATGTAGGAGAAAAAGGGGTACAAGCAGAATAGACAGGAATATTATCTTGGTGTAACTTTATATAATTGGATTAAATGTATACCTATTCAAAAACTTAAAAAGATTTTTAAATCAGTTGGAAAATCAGCATTGTTATAAGGATGGTGTGCAATATTGGCATATCAACAGATATGTGGTGGGCTCAATGAGAAAATAAAGGATGCAGAAAACCACCGTTGGCACATTCCCACATCTGACCTGTGACAGAGGACAAAACATAAGCTGAAGAAAAGACAGGCTCTTCACCAAATGGTGCTAAGAGAAAACTGATTATCCATACACACAAGACTGAATGTAAGGGCCAGCGAGATAGCTCAGGGCACTAAGAGCATGCTTAAGCAAGCACAGGGACTAAGACTCAATCCCCAGAACCACATTCCATGCCTGCCCCACCCCCAGGCACGCTGAGCCGGCCACCAAGACCTGGTGGCACACACCTGTAATCCCAGTGCAGAACAGGCTGGAAACATGAGGATCACTACAAGTCCGATCTGCGTAGTGAGACCCTGTACCAAATGCATTAAAAAAAAAAAAAAAAAAAAA